CAAGCTCCTTGTTTACACCTGTGCTATGCATAACAGGAACCGACTTGCAAACTTAACCCGATGTGAAACGGCGACATGAAGTCTGCCATATTTGTACAGTGCGGTCGTCACTTAGTGACTTAGTGATGCTTGAGATCATTTCATCCACTAGACCAGCGCCTTGGGCAGGGAGTTGTCGTGGCTCGTCGTGCAATGTGCTCGAACGTTAGCCAGCGCCTCCCGTGCTCAGCTCAGTAGTTGATAGATGTTGATAGGACCAAGATGCCATGCAAATAAAATGGACACAACAGATAGCACTGTGCAAAAATGCGTCAGTAACAGGGGCGCTTGCACCACAAGGCGGGAGCTATCAGCTACAGCTGACCAGACTCCCGGAAGGTGCGCCCCCCGCTTAGGTCAGTAACAGAGGGGTCTCAACATAGATGCCTGTAGTCGCCTGCAAGGCCCAGTTTTGAAAACCGCAGGGCCTGAGGCCGCCTTCCAAGTTTCTGAAACACTGACAGCGACATTGGGGTAAGAAGGCAAAGGCGCAAGGAACACCAGGGAACCCTTTTTCTGTCTGGGCTTCTGCTATCGCCAGAAACTCACAAGTGAGCGTGTAAACCCACAAATTAAATCCACTCGAAACTCTACACCCTACAAACTGAACGCTACTGCTGCGCCTTCTGTGAACCCCCCCTGACGGGGCTTGGTTCTAAGGGTCCTCAGAGGTCCGCATACTAAGAGTTATATGAAGGATCCTGCTTAAGCAATGAAAGCCATGGCTTACATGGATCAATTTTTTCTGTGCCTCCGGAGAAAAATATTGCAGCATCTGCAATAGCAAGAACAAGTGCTAGTACTGTTTGCGCGTAATAGATACAGAACCAGACGATGAACAAACTGCGAGGAATGTGGCGAAATACATGCATGCACACATCCATCCATACAGTATGCCTGAATGCATGCATGCATAGCTGTCTATCTACCTGTCTATCCATCCATACATACGTAAATGCACCATTAAGCTCACACGGAACAATGCAGCAAACACTATGTTTCAGGTGCGCCTTTCGCTGGCAGTCCGTGAGACCTTGAGTTTTGGGGGCTGTTTCAGCAACGCAAAATGGCTTCAGGGCAAAACTGTGGGATGCTAGGTCTCGCTGTTTCTCTGTTTCGCCTAGCCCTGTGATCGCTCCTGAGCCGAGCCTCCTTCCTTCTCTCTTTCGCACTCTTTCCTGGGTGTTCTGCATCCATATTTTTGGGAACAGTAGCAAAGCCCCCCCACCCCCTTGTCCAAAAGCTCAGAGCCCAAATGGCCTGATCGTTTCGTACCGTTTACCGAACCCCATGCGGTTTGGACAAGCGCTCGGCAAATGCAAGTTTAGTCGAGGGGAGCTACTGTCCACCATGTGCCACCTGACCTGAAGCTCGACACACTGCGCGCTACCTTCAACTTCCTGCCTGCCTATACCCTGCAATACGTACCCGGGATAGCTGGCAATCTCGCTCTCTGTCTCTTGGCTTCTGCTCCCCCTTCTTCGCTTGCCGCCGGCCAAAACAGAAACACTATTGTCACTATTGCGTGGAATGCCAGCCAAGATGCGTTCTACCGCTCGCATTTCCGATTCGGGCAGGAGCAGGGCCCAAAACGCCTGATCTTCGTCCTGGCAACCAATGCCCGAAAATCAACTCGCTCAGCGATGGTACTGATCGTGCAAACTTCTCCCAGGGCGGTAACAATGCTAACGGTGGAGCTCCGACTCTCGGGACTAGAGGTACTGCCAGCCAATGCCTCAATGCTCTGACTTCGTTCGGAGGTTCTGTACATACATATACACAGCCACGTATATGTACGTTCTAGATGTATGTTACTATGTGCACATGGACCTGATTGTAACACAGGTACAAAAGCAGAGGCATAGATGCCAGCAAACGCGAAAATATACATACATGCATACATACGTGATCATACATAGGTACATAACGTACATACATGAATGCATGCATCCATGCCGACGAGTATGTACAGTACATACACTACAATACAGTGCACGACAACACATCGCATCACCATACACAGCAATACAAGACCACGATACATATACACATGCATGCATGCATGCATGCCATGCATACAAACATGCCCATACATACAAACGGCAGCATTGGTTTGTATGGCACTGCATGGCACGGTAATGCACCGCATCACATTGCATGCTTGCGTGCATACATGTGGACCTGCACACATTGACAGCTACGAATGCGCATATCCATGCAACCATGTTTCTTTGATCGAGGTGCCCAAAGCTTAGGCTTATAGACTTCCCCTAGTTTCGCTTGCCTGCTCTGGGCACAGAACGCAAACTCGCGAGCCTTCTGTGCCTTTCTCTCTCCCTCTCTCTGCATATCTGGTGGACACCGCTATCCCCAGCAGCTCCAGCAGGCCGATCTCACGAAGAGCCGAGGCCACAGTGGCGTCCTCTGGGAGAGAGGACGGAGAGACGGATACCAGGGGAGCTATGACGCACCTCTTGACACGTCTGGCACATTTATATTCTGGGCAAGACCCTTTCCTCCACGCTGCTCAACACCCAAGTGGGTGGCACAACTTGCCTGCTCCGGAGGCGCAACCAATGACTTCCGGCCACGTTTCTGTTCGTCCAAAAGCATTGCACCTCAACCTGCATCCTTGCACCAGAGCTTGAAAGAACTGCGGAACACAGTCTTCCCAGAATTCACGCCCAAAGCCAGCGGTTAGCCCGTGCCGAAGACCGCAAACTAACAGCAGGCGCTGATCTTGGGCTTGAAGTAGAGCGGGCTACTATCATTATTCTTATTCCTGCTGTGATTGTTCTTGCAGGAATGTACAGCCCACCTCCCACTACTTCGACAGAATCCGCCTGGCCCTCCATCGACGATGCTTTTCCGAGTAGCCTCAAGGCTAATGCACCACTCATCTATCTATCTCTTTGTCTCGCTCTGATTACATCACTAGAGATTCCTTCTTCCATTCATGAGGAAGCAATCGCATCCGTGTGAAATGTTCAAGCAACCGTAGCGGATGCTTCAACCCGGAAGCTCCCACAAGTCTGGAGCAAGCACCCAGACCTGGAAGGCCAAATTCAATGCCTGCAACCGCTCACCGATCCACATCTTCCAGACTAAGCAGCCAAAGCCGAATTCCAGCAGGACACCGTAGGTTACCGGGCCCATGCCGCCTGGCTTTCCAGAGCTCGCAGCTAGGCATGCAAAGAGAGCAACATGGACAGATATCCTGGTTGAACTGATGCACTGAGAACTGAGAAGCCTGATGCCAGAGATTGATCTGACACAGGACGAAGGACCCCTGCGATGAAAACAACAAACCCTGTCAGCGCAAAGGGCCTTGCAAGCGCTTCTCCACACCCACGGCGAGAACCTGCGCCTGCAGGTTAAGATCTGGATGCCCTGACAGAAGTCTTCATGAACTTCCGCAGCCATCACAAGTCTTTGAAGGTCAAGGATGTCAAGGACCAGGAAAGGGTGTGGACATGCACCCTGCTAAACCAAGCACCCCTGTTCCCTCCGGTGCTTCCCTTCTCCGCACTGCACGCCTCACGCCAGCTGCGCGATTTCTGGCCATGGACGTAGAAGTGTGCACGAACCCTCAGGGCCAGTAAGCTTTCAATTCACACAAATGCTGCATGCCATATAGGATGCCTCGCCTACATGTTAGGAGGTCCACCTCATGGTTTACTGGTGTACCTTTCGACAGTGCAGTCATCAAAACATCCAACTCCACAGGCTCATCTCTCGCCGACAGACCATCAACTAGTCTGAGAGTCTCAGCATGCGGAACTCAGCTACAGCTACAGGCACGGGTTCCAAGACTTCTAGCTCTTGTTCCAGTCCGTCGCCTTGAGCCGACCGCTAAACCTGCATGGTCGCAAACGTCCTGCGCAGAGACGTGGTTTCAGACTGTTCGACTACTGACCTGGGGATATGAGCTGCGTTGTCCTGGCTATTTTTCGGCAAACGTGCAGGTAGACATACATACAAACATAGACACATTCATGCATTGATCCAGGCAAGCACGCATATATACACCCATATACATGTATACAGTCTTTTAAACGGGACTCGACTGCTGCCCTTGCTCATAAAAATACGAACAAATGATAAAAACTCATATAAACATATGCACACGTATATGTATACATTTATGTGTGTGCATGTGCACGTGATCAGGATGTAGATTTCAGTCCTTTTATGATACACTTACGATACAGATACAGTACACATAATACAGATAGGGTCCCCAAACACATGTATACATATGTATGCATATAACATGTGTCTGTACTATATATATATATATATGTGTGTGTATGTAGACGTGTGTATATCTACATACATGCATACATACATACATACATACATACGTACATACATACATACATACATACATACATACAGACAGACCGACAGACAGACAGACAGACAGACAGACAGACAGACAGACAGACAGACAGACAGACATGTGGGGAGAGACAGAGCGATACTTTGGTAGATAATGCAAAATTTGGAGATGTAGGTAGATAGACTGCATATGGTTCTGGGAGTTGGGTTGGCAACTAGCGCTGCCTACACAAGTGAGCAGGCAACTAACAGACTCAAACTATATGTGCTCATACCCATGCTAGTTCCCACATGCCTTATACTGTCGTTTCCACATATGTATACATTGTTTTTTGTTGTTGTTTTCTCTATCGCTCTCTCTCTCTCTCGGTCTATCTGTTTATCTATCTATCTGTCTATCTGTCTGTCTATGTACCATCTATCTACTTCTGTATCTATCTATCTACCTATTTATCTGTTTATCTGTCTCTATTTATCTATCTGTCTATCTATCTATCTATCTATCTATCTATCTATCTATCTGCAATATGTAAATGTAAGGGGAGAGCGCAGAAAACGATAGAGCGAGAGAGCTGCTCGTCACCGGACCGTTCCGGCACCACAATCACAACCATGTGCAGGCGTTTCGTGCGAGATGAGATTGTCTCCCTGGGCCGTGAACTGAGCTGGGGTTTATGATTCAGATCCAGGAGCAGCTAGAGGACGATTTCGGCTTTATTTGCTTTGGGAGAATCTGCCAATATTGACTAGTCTAATATCGGGGCCTTAAGAATTCGAATAGGGTTTTGCGGTATACTATACTGTAACTAGAACAAGGCACCCCCCAAAGAAAAAAACAACAACAAGAAACACCATAATAAAGGTACTTGTTTAAGCCCCTACATTGCACACTCTGCGATGGCGAGGTAACGGCTTCGTCCAGCTCGACGAGCAGCAGCGAATGCATCCTTCGATTGCACGGTGCGCCGAGTTTCTCATGTGGGCGTGCCAGTGAGTGTGCCCAGAGAGCCCAGTACTTCTTAGCTATGGAGTTTGCCCTACAGAAAGTATCTAAGGACTTTAGGAGGGACCCCTAATAGGGAACCTTAATCCCACTACCTTAAATAACCATTGTATAGTCCCTATATACCCCTTATGTAGCCAGGTGGTCTAGTATGATTCCTGAATGAAGGGGGGTTCGGCACGCTGGGTGAAAGCGTGAAGAAGAAACCGCCCGAGACCCCAAACCCGAAACCCTAAACCCCAAGGAGGAATCGTTTCACCCCTAGTGTAGGAGGGTGGTTAGTAAAGTCCGCTCCGATACACTGCAAAAAAGCCCCTAAACCTAAACCCGAAACCCTAAACCCTAAACCCGGGTCTCAGCCACAGTGCGAAGGTTTCCATGCGACGCCTTCTACGGCGGAACTATACGAGACTTCGACGTTCAATCAGAGTTTAGTGATGCCGGCTCAGGAGTTTTGTAGGGTCTAGGATTCATATACTCTAGGGGCCTCAATAATTACCTANNACCTATACTATTTTTTTTTTTTTTTGTGGGGTTCCTTTTTTAAAAAGTATAGTAGAATATACCCCCCAAAGCCCTATTCTATTTTTTAATGAGAGGCCCTACATTGGGGTTTAAGATTTCAGGGCTTCGGGTGTAGGGTTTTAGGGTTTCGGATTTAGGCTTCTAGGCTTCAGTGTCTCGGAAATTTATGGACTTTCGACGTTTTCAGCTTCTGCGTCGCGAAACCTGGCCTACCCTAAGCCCTTCCGATTAGAGCCCTTACACACTCCTCAGAGAAGCTTTTCTGGGTTCTTGTTTGAAGGATTTAACTTAAGTTACCATTGTAGGGATCCATCGTGAATAACATGGTTTCCTTGTTATCGTAACTTACGTTAAAGCCATTAACAAGAACCCAGTGTTGGGGGACACGGAGGAGGCCTCTAAATCCTAAACGCACAGGGCGCCCAGTTACCTAACAAATGGTTACTGGGTTACATCTTGGGGGTTAGGGCTTAGGGATCTAGATAGTTAGCGACCCTAAGCCCTAAACCCTAAACCCTAAACCCTTAACCGTGGTAACTGGGGCCATCGGGTTGCCCTGTGTGAACCTTAAACTGCCTTAAACCCTAAACCCCTAGACCCTAAATCCCTAAAACCCCTAAAACCCTAAACCCCCAAACCCAAACCCTCAACCCCTAAACCCTAAACCCCTCAACCCCTAAACCCGGAACCCTAAACCCCAAATTGCGAAACTCGAGAGCCAAGGAGACGGTCTGGCGATGTCCAAGCGCGAGCTCATTCCTGGGCCGGAAGCTCTGATAGCCGTGGATCTATCTTTGTGGGGCTTGAGGGTTTAGGGGTTTAAGGTTGAAGTAGGGTTTTTCTCGGTAGCTGTGGATCTGTCTTTGTTGGGGTCGAATTAGGGTTGTTTTTGTTTTGTATTTCTCGGGTTCTTTGAGATTAAGCTATCCGGATTCCTAGTAGGGGGCTGCAAGGGTTCTGTAGACTCTGGGGTTTGTAGGACTTGGGGCAGCCGTGGGTTGATGGCTTCAGGAGCTTAATATATAGGTTAGGGTTTAGGGTTTTGGGTTTAGGGTTTAGGGTTACCAATAGTATTTTGGGGGCTCCTTATTCTAATTATAGTATAGTGGGCCGCCTCAAAAACACTCTTTCCAATTACTAAGGCCTCTATATTATAGAGGGAGCCATGAGTACATTCCGAGAACAGTGATGTAGGCCCTAAGCCCCAAACCCTAAACCTTCAACCCCTAAAGCCCTAAACCCCTAAACCCCTAAACCCTCAACCCTAAACCCTAAACCCTAAACCCTAAACCCTAAACCCTAAACTCCTAGACTCCTCAACCCTAAACCCTAAGCCCTAAACCTAGGCACTTGATTCGGAAACAAGTGGCCAATTACAGGGCTCTTGATATGAGTCCCCGGGCCACTGGGCCAGGGTTTAGGGTTTAGGGTTTCGGGTTTAGGGTGTAGGGGTTTAGTGTTTAGGGTAGGGGGGGGTAATTCACAATCAGGATCCTATGGTTCCTATATCACCTAGTTTGATCTACTGTGACGGTTGCACGCCTTGGACATGTACATAACCCCTTCCCCCTGATATCAAAGCACCCTCGCCCCCCTCAATCAGAAACTCAAAAACATCAGCGTTTGACTATTAGGGGGGATGTTTATCTCTTCTGTCACTTTCGGAGGATCTTGCTATTGCTCCTGCTCCGGCTGATGCTGTTGTTCCTGCTCCTACTCCCGCTCTTGCTGTTGTTATTGCTCCTGTTTCTGCTGTTTCTCCTGCATTCCCCCCCCACCAATTCAAATATTTTTGAACTGGCGGGGATGGCTTCAGGGATCTACCGGGAAAGTGTGTTCATTACAAGGCGGGGTGGGGTTCATGAATGGGGGACGCGATTAAGCTCGCTTGAATTGCAGACAGTCGTCCCATATTGAAGTAGAGCTGTTCACATGCAGGTTTCCTTGGCCCGTGCCCGGTTGCCATGTGGCCTTCGTCGAGTGTGGCTACATGACCGGGGAGGACCACTGGATAAAAACTGGTTGGAATCCTTCGTCAAAGATCAATAGAAAGACCTGTGCTAGTTCTTTCCTGTTACGCAAATTTTAAAATGAACTCTAAACCTAAACCCTGAACCCCTAACCCCTACCTTAAGAACTCAAAACCCACTTTTTTGTAGGTTCTTATTATAAACCCTAATATGGGATTTATAGGGACCCTACTAGAAAGTAGGTTTTGGGCTCTTAAGGTAAACCCTAAACCCTCAACCCTAATCCCTAACAGGTGGTATATCATAGCAGTGAAGCCAATTCGAGCGCAGGAGGGAAATCTGGGTGGCAGCCACTCCAACTACAAAGAGGTGCCCGGCACTGTTTAGGGCCACGGTTTAAGGTTTTAAGGTTTTCAGGTTTAAGGTTTAAGGTTTAGGGTTTGGGGTTTAGGGTTTAGGGTATGAGGTTTAGGGTTTTTCAAGCTGTCACGCGGCACGCGCTTGGCAATAACCCGAAGGGTCCATGTACCCAAATAATGTAACATAATATAATATATTTTAATATTTCATAAAATAATATAATGTAATAGATATGAGCATCGGACTAAACCTCCGGAAGAGGTAATCAGTACTAGAGTGGACACGAGATTGTGGAAAGTAGGGGTTTAGTATGAGAACCGATAGGGGCCGACCTATGTTCGGTT